TGTGCATATTCTAACAATTGGTATCACGAGTCTTCTTACATATAACTGATAATGTAATAAGAGACCCTGATTTTGATACATATTTGATTAAACCTGTTTATATCATGTTGTACTTTTGATGTACATTTTTTTTTGTATGAAAAAAAATGTTTTGTATTCCAGAGTTGTAAGGGTTCATTCCTACTTTTAAAAAAAAGATTTTAATAGCTAATAAATGAGTTTATATGTTGACATAGGTCCTCTTCCTCATCGGATAAACTTGTATATTTTGATACTGTTATGTTTGTCTTTTGATTTGATGACTTGCTTTAACTTTCTAACTAAGTTGCCTGTTGAATCAATGAACAACAGACAATATATATACCTGACTAAACTTCATAAATTACTCTCTAAGTGAGTTGGACTTGTATTATTTAAGTGGTATTATATATATGAACTTGCTCATATATTTGCTTGAACAATTAAGTTTCCCTATCGATTCTAATTGTTCATTAGCTTGATTATATGTGTCTTGTTTTTTTTTTTTTGAAAAAAAAAACATGTTACTAATGATCTATTTTAAATATTTCTCAGATTAACTATGTCTCACTTCAATCCTCTGTCCTCTATCTTGAACCAAAACAAACTGGAAGGTCCTAACTATGTAGACTGGAAACGAAACCTTGATATTGTTCTAACATATGAGGATTTCAAAGATGTGCTGGTTGAAGAATGCCTCATTAAACCAGTAGATGCTATTGATGAGGAGATTAAGGCCAATGAGAAATGAGTCAAGGCAATTGAGATGGCAAGGTGCTACATTTTTGCCTCAATATCGAATGTCTTGCAACATCAACATCAGTCTATGACATCTACTTACGATATGCTCGAATCTCTCAAAGAGATGTTCGGAGAGCAAAATCGTGTTGCCAAGCAGACTGCTATGAAGGCTATACTGACCACCAAAATGGTTGAAAGATCACATGTCAAGTATCATGTGCTGAACATGATGAGTTATCTGAATGAGCTGGAGATACTTGGCACTGCTATTGATAAGGAATCTCAGATGATCCTACAGACTTTGCTGGACAGTTTTCAACAGTTTCGCTTGAATTATAATATGAACAAGATGGATTTGTCTCTTGCGAAATTGTTGAATGAACTGACAGCGGCAGAATCCATTATCAAATAGCAAACTCCTCCCTATGTGGCATATATGGTGGGCAAACCTGTCGTTTCTTTGTCTAAGCAGGCTAAATCCCAAAAGAAGAAGAAGAAGTCATGCAAGGTTGTGGCACCCGGAGGTGCTACAAGTGGTATGGCTAAGCCTAAGGGCAAGTGCTACCACTGCAAGCAGCCTGGTCACCACAAGAGGCAATGCCCTGACTATCAAGCCAAAATGAAGAACAAAGGTAATTCTTGTTTAAATGTCGTTGAAACCTATTTAGCGGTTGATTCTACCCAATTATAGGCTATAGATTCGGGAACCACTGACAATGTCTGCACTTCTTTGCAGGGGTTTCAGGAAACGTGGCGGCTAAGTGAGAATGAAGTTTGCATTTTTCAGGTGAATGGGGAACCAACACCAGTCCTAGCAATAGGAAATATCTCTTTTTCTTTAAGTAGTACCAGAATTCTATTTTTAAAAGATGTTCTTTATGTACCTTCGATAAGAAGGAATTTGCTTTCAGTTTAAAAAATAAGGGATGTTGGGTATGATGTTTTATTTGCAAATAACTGTGTTGTTATTAAGTATGATAAACAATTCATCCATAATGCTCCTAAAATACATCATCTCTTTGTATTTGAAGTCTCCCATGACATGATACACCATAATGAATTAAATAATATTGATATTTCTTATAAAAGAAAACGTATTTCTGAATTGAGTCAAACTTACTTATGGTACTTACGTCTATGTCATATCAATATTAATAGGATTTCAAGGTTGGTTTCTGATGGACCTCTGAGTTCATTGAAAGTGGAGGCACTACCAACCTGTGAATCTTGTTTAGAAGGTAAAATGACAAAGAGACATTCCCCTTCCAAAGGAAATAGAGCCAGTAATAAGTTAGAATTAATTAATTCTGATTTGTGCGGTCCTATGAATATACGAGCAACAGGGGTTTTTGAGTATTTTGTGACATTCACAGAGGACTACTCAAAATATGGATACATTTATTTGTTGCGCCACAAATCTGAATGCTTTGAGAAGTTCAAAGAATTCAAGATAGAAACGGAAAAGCGACATGGTAGACATATCCTAACATTACGATCAGATCGTGGTGGTGAATACCTTTCGACGGAATTCATTAAGTACTTATTAGAATCGGGCATTACATCTCAATATTCTACCCCAGGAACACCACAACAAAATGGTGTGGCAGAACGGAGAAATAGAACTCTTTTGGAAATGGTTAGATCAATGTTAAGTTATTCAGATTTGTCTTTTAACTTTTGGGGATATGCCTTATAAACTGCAAATTACATTCTGAATTTGGTTCCTTCTAAATTTGTTCCTTTAACCCCATCCGAATTGTGGAATGGGCGCAAGCCTAGTCTACGACATATTCGAATTTGGGGATGTCCAGCACATGTATTAAAAGGGAAAACAAGTAAGTTGGAATCAAGGACAAAAGTGTGCATTTTCATTGGATATCCAAAAGGAACTAAAGGAGGTTTATTTTATTGTCCTAAGGAACAAAATGTAATTGTTTCAACAAATGCCAAGTTTCTGGAACAAGACTATTTAATTAACCATGTTCCTAGAAGTAAACTTGTGTTACAGGAACTAAGCAAAGGAATACCTACTAATGAAACATCAAGACAACTACCTAAAATAATTGTTGACATACCATTGCATCCGCATAGTGGGAGGAATGTTGGTCGAAAAGAGGTTGCTCAAGAGGATGCTCTAGAGGTTGCTCAAAAGCAGACTCAAGACATCTCGCTACCACAACGTAGTGGGAGTAATGTCGTGCAACCTGAAATTGTGGAGTAAGTAGTTCAGAATGTTCATAATTTAGTTCAAGATGTAGCAAATCCTGTAGTTGTTAGTCGTCGTAGTGGGAGAGTTATTAGAAAACCACAACGGTTTACGCTCTTGGGAGAATCATACGATAGAATCCTTGAAGATACTAATACAGAACCATTAAATTACGCTGAAGCACTACATGATAAAGATACTGAAATGTGGGTTGTTGCTATGAAATCTGAAATGGAATCTATGTACTCAAACCAAGTCTGGGATCTTGTGGAACCACCAATAGGTGCTAAACTTATTGGTTGTAAGTGGATCTACAAGAAAAAGAGAGGTGTGGATGGAAAAGTGAAAACTTTTAAGGCTCGGCTTATTGCGAAAGGGTTTACTCAAAAAGAAGGAATTGATTATGAAGAAACTTTTTCGCCTGTAGCCATGATTAAATCCATTAGGATTCTCTTATCCATTGCTGCTCATTATAATTATGAGATTTGGCAAATGGATGTCAAGACAACTTTTTTAAACGAAAGTCTTGAAGAGTGCATTTATATGGCACAACCAGAAGGTTTCATGGTAAATGGCAATGAACACATGGTTTGTAAACTTAAGAGATCCATTTATGGATTGAAACAGGCATCTCGGGCATGGAACATTTGTTTTGACAATTCGATTAAAACTTTTGGTTTTGATCAGTTTGAAAATGAATCATGCATTTATAAGAAATGAGAGGGAGACAGAGTAACATTTTTTATTCTGTACGTAGATGACATCTTGCTCATAGGAAATAATGTGAGCATATTGAATTCTGTTAAATAGTGGTTGTCGTCGCGTTTTGATATGAAAGACTTAAGAGAAACGGCTCATATCCTTGAGATTAAGCTTTTGCGAGATCGCAAACAAAGGGTATTAGGCTTGTCTCAAGCACTTTATATTGGTACTATTCTTGCGAGGTTTAGCATACAAAATTCCAAAAAATGGTTTCTTCCTTTTAGACATGGAATTAATTTATCAAAGGATCAGTCGCCTAAAACGACCGACGAGATAGAAAAGATGAAGGCGGTCCCTTACGCTTCTGCTGTAGGGAGTCTTATGTATGCTATGTTATGCACCAGACCGGATATCTGCTTTGTTGTAGGCATGGTTAGCAGATTTCAGTCTAACCCTGGGAAAGAACATTGGACTGCAATCAAGCATATGATCAAGTACCTTAAAAGGACTAGGGATTATATGCTTGTTTTCCACCCTGGCAATCTTGTACCTATTGGATATACAGATTCAGATTTCCAGTCAGATAGAGATTCTAGAAAATTGACTTCAGGATATGTATTTACTCTGGGAGGTGGAGCCATAGTTTGGAGGAGTATAAAGCAATCTTGTGTTGCTGATTCCACCATGGAAGCTGAATATGTAGCTGCATCTGAGGCGGCTAAAGAAGCTGTTTGGCTCAGAAACTTTCTAAAAGAGCTCAGAGTGATTCCTTCTATTGAAGTACCAATTGCACTCTATTGTGATAATAATGGTGCAGTTGCCAACTCAAAAGAACCACGAAGCCATAAAAGGAGTAAGCACATTGAGAGGAAATATCACTTGATTCGTGATATAACTCAAAGGGGTGATGTAAGAATTTTGAAGATTGAATCGAAGAACAATTTGGTGGATCAATTTACCAAAGGCTTACCTCAGAAGTCTTTTGATAAGCATGTGGATGAAATGGGTGTTAAAATTGTACATGCATGGTTATGAGTCTAAGTGGGAGATTGTTGGGATATACTATTAACCATATGGTTGAGTTATAGTATTGATTTTAATCCTTTATAAAGACTTTACGTTTCATGTAAATTGTTACAATAAAGTTTTTGTTTGAATAGATCATTGTGTTTATATGTGTGTCCATTGCTTATATAGTAGACGATTTTTGGGTATGGAGTTGCTTAACTCATACGCGGAAGATTAAAATTGTCGGTTCTTATAAGTCATAAATTAAATGTTCACAATCAAAGATGAAATTAGTCAAACATCTTGATGATTGTTACACAAGATTAAATGTAATTCAATCTTAATTATGGGAATGGTAAAATTCCAACTTCTTGTGTTAGTACATTTTGCATGTATTGAACGGACCAAATTGAGATATGCATTTAGGTTCTGAATTTCAATAAATAATATCTCTAGTCCATTACATGAGCTTATACTCTTAATCTTGATGTAGTTATTATGATCAGTGTAGTTTGCTTTATTATTTTCATCTATTAAAAGGTGAGACTCTATGATGAGTCAAAAAATTCCTAATGGATTGGATAATAACAAATTATATTCGTGAAATAATAATTAGCTGATAGAACCATATCTCGGATATGAGAAAGAAGACACCCCTTTATGGTTGCTTATAAGTAGTCACGTGAAAACCCTGCAGGTGGATTATATATGTATATCTGTCACGTGAATTAATTTAAGCATAAAGATAAAGGATTAAATTAATCAATGGATTAAATTTTTCAGAAGTTTA